TTCAGTGGCAAACGTTGGGGTTGGGGTTGGATAGGAAAAGATGACATTCCTTGTGGCAGAGCATATAGCTTTAATTTACTTCCTAGGGTTTATACATAGATATTTCTCAACTGTGTGGCATAAATGATTTCAACAGACACTTACCTCTTTCAAGTCACAGAATATGTATTTAAGCTGTCACTACTACACTGAATTTAACTTAGCTATGATTTCAAGTTGGTTTGTTTCAAAACTGCCCTTTAGCCCCTTGGGTTTGCAAGCCAAATTTAGCCTGAAAGCAATTCCATAGCACCACCTGTATACCAACCTTCAATCCCTCACATTATGGTTAAGTGTCTTGCAGCTACTTTTACTTCTACTACCTCTGAATCCTAGAAAATACCACCAATAGGAAATTGGACTGCTCATAAAATCTGGAGCACTGCAGCAATTTGAGGGGGAAAAAACAGATTGTACTGTCCTGCTAATTGGATGGACTGGGCTTCTGAAAATAGATGATGTCATTGATCTCATGATGATCATGAGATCAATCAGTTCAGAGCTGATTCCCAAATGGTGCAAGCCTTTATTGTGGAAATGGTCTAAAAATAAACCCATATATGCCTATGATTGGGCAGGGAGGAGGGAGACTGCATTTATACCTGTGAAGACAGTCTCTGCCTTTGGCTTGCCTTTGACTCCTCTTATATGCTAACACATATAACTTGCTTACTTATTCAGTTAAAATCTTTTTTTGGGGGGAGGCTAGTAATTTGTGAACAGTGTGCCTAAATATGATCCAGGTTATTACAGATGGTTGGGTTTACCATACCGTGATTGAACAAACTGGGATAATGAGTTCTCCAAAATAAGCAGGTCTTGGAACAGGAAACAGGGTTCTGTTAGATTTGGGTCAGGATTTCTCCGGAGCCAGTGAGGAGGGGGAACAGGATTCTTAACTACGTAGACAAAATTCTTTCCAATTACACAAAGCAATATGCAGTAAGTCGGCTATCTGTATTACGGATAGATAAATTAAGTAAAATACATATTTTTTTCTCAGTAGTAGGATGCAAGAAAGCAAATCTATCCTTGTGTTGGGTCCATAGCTTAGATGAAATTTGAGCAAGTTTTGAGCTTAGACCATATTTTTATTTAGGCCCATACAAATACTCAGTGCTTTGCATAGCGTTGGTTCTCCTTGAATCAGAAAAGATGCTGCTTTTTCTGCATGATTGCTTCATCAACTGTCCCTGGCTTTATATGTGTGTTTGTACAGCCGCATTTTTAGCTGTTTCACAGCCCTAGTAGAAACATATCAAAATTAGAAATCTATATTTTAAGAAGTCAACTTTTCCTCAGTGTCTTTTTATTGGGCCCCATTTAATGTCCATATTGGTATTTAAGAGGCCCAGATCCATGTTGATCTGGATGGCAAAAAATAAAATATTGCTATGAGCAGATTGATTTCAGCAGGCAAGTCAGTTTCGCTTCTTTATTTTCATCTTTAAATTCATTAGATGCATACAGTGGTAAGGCATATTACTTTTACATTTAAGATGCATGGCAGATAACATGGTCTAATGTTCTCATTTAGCAGCTCCAGAATTTACATAGTAAGCAGGAAAGGGCAAGTGGGTGGAACTTTTGCTGTGGTGTTCAAAAGCATGCAACAGTGATTTTAACAGTATTGATTTTATATTTCTCCTGACTTGTTTTTCAATAAATATATTTTTTTTTATTCGGATATTTTTTAACCAAACTCTCTACAACTTGCAGCAAGCAAGGCTCTGTTGCTGAGGGATACTGAGTTCTGGATCTCTACAAAATTTAGGAAGTTCATAAATTTCCTGCCCTTTCTTTAGTTTGTAGATTTCCAGGGCAAGAAAGTCTTTTTGTTGTAATAATAATAAGTAATGCATTAGGTCTCCAGTTGTAGAACAAGCTCTTTGCTGGGCAGATGTTTTCAATTGTTAATGTTTCTTTTTTGGAGCATACACTCCTACTCTCTTTAAATGAAGAACTTAATTTTCCTTAATAAGTCATAGTTCAGGTATCTGCTTTTAGTAGATGAGAGACTTAAGTCAACTGGGAACAATGTGGTCCTTTCTGGATCAATTATGGCTTACATACACAAAGTACAGACTATTCAGAGATGTTTTTGTGCTAATTTTGTGGGCATAATTGGTATTCTTAGAATATATTTCAAGAACTCATTATCCCAGATCATACTGTCTTAAATGGTACAGCTTTTATCCAGGGATATCATTTCTATTAACTTGATTCCAGATTAAATTTAGGTCTGAAGGTTTGAGTTGCATCTTGGTGCGGCCAGTTGCACATAGTATACCGACACCATTTGTAAATGGAGATGCAGAATATACACCCTTAAATAAATGTTATGGGGGACTCAAAATATATAAGAAAACAAAAGGAGCATTTCCCCCCATACTTTGAGTTAATCTTGTTTTGTAGAGCCATATTTTTTGTTGCAGGGTGGAAGTTCAGAATCAAATATTAAGATGGATTTCCTTCTTACGAGAAACCCAAGCAGCTTCCTTGTCATTGATATTTAGTTTTATTTATTTATTTATTTATTTATTTATTTATTTATTTATTTATTTATCATATTTGTATACCGCCCTACTCCCGGAGGACTCAGGGCGGTGAACAGCCAAGATAAAAATACAAATAACATACAAAAGTTAAAAACTATTAAAAATAGATTAAATAATTTGGGCTCAAAAAACAAATTTAAGACATCCAATTTATGTAAAAACATTTAAAACCCAATTTAAAACCCAATTTAAAACCCAATTTAAATTTAAAATTTAAATTTAGTTGCATACATATTATACATTTACACATGTTATCATGAAATTATGGCTGCTTCCTGAAGAGGAAATATAGAAATATTGTGTCTGTAATGGAACCCCTCTTTCCCCCACCATTTTATTTTCTGCTTTAAAAAAAAAAAAAAAATCTTGTTTTCAGTTTATTTTTACTATTATTACTGAATGACTTTGTAATTCCTTTTGTAATTTATATTGTGAGCTGCCTTTGTATCAAAAAAGAAAAAAATATTTAATATGACTATGATTCCCTTTGAAAATAAAAATCTCTTTGGGTGCAAGAGTGCAGTGCATGGAGTACAATTACATGCATTTAACTGCATATTCTTTCAAATGAAGTCAAAACTAATTAGTACATCAAGAATTTGTCTTCTGTTCTGCACGCAGGGAAGGAGAGCTGTTATGTTCCACCTAATGTCAATTTTGCCATGTAAAAAAAACACTCCATAAGTTACATTCAGGATAATGCTATTTGTCCTGTACTGGTTCTGATGAGGAACAAACGAGCAAAAGGGCAAGTTGCTTTTCTCAGCTTCACTTGGATGTGTTTTGGATTCATTGTATTTCCCAGTAGCTTGAAAAGATGTTGACAGGTAGACATGGTGTTAAACTTTCTAATTTCTAATTTCTAATATTTTATGTGGCATCAGTACAATACTCTGAAGAAACAGTGTGACTGTCTTTTCAAGTCCCTGCCATGTCTTGCAGTATTTTGACAGTTGCGCAAAGCTGCAATGCTATGCATACTTATGTTGGAATATTCACTCAGTGGAATAGGTATGCATATGCAAGATTTCATAGCGAAATCCAATAATTTTTTAAGCTGCAATCCTCTTCTTATGAACAAAGGTCATTGTAGAAATAAAAAGGTACAAAATTCTTATCACAAAACCAACAGGTTACAGAATTTTGTTAAAAGATGTATGCAGGTATAGAAACCACTCCTTTAAATGTATGTTTCAGATAAAGTAAACCAATTAAATTTCCTTCCATGGATGAAGTGTGTTCTTTAGTGACATTTAAGTTCACTCATATCAGTTTCTCAATTAATATATTTCTTACCCCTAATTAATTTCTAAGGCAGTTGATCCAAATATTTCCTCTAAAACAGTTCCCCTAATCACCCTTGACTCATTAATCATCACACCATCCAATAAAATTAAACATACATTCAATCTTGAATAGGACATGGGTGGCAATTTCCTTTGGGTGGTGGGGGAATGACGTTGGAAATTATTAAGAGTGCAGAGAGATTGATAGGTCATCAATTATCTGTCTTGCCTTCTATTCCTTGGGGGGAAAAAACCCAAAGAAAACTTTTTAAACCAAAATGCTAGTGGACCAGAATATATCAGATATACTCTGGAAAGAATCTTTGCTTGTCAATCCAAGACCCCTTCAAGAGATAAGGAAATGGCTGCCCCCATTTCAGCTAATATAGATTGTCCAGCCAAGATTCTTTTTCTGTACAAGAAGGAAAATGAAAATGATCCACTTCAAGATCATTGGAGCTTTCAGTTGGCAGTGTGCCAACTCTGCTGAAGTTCCTTTATTTAAGTTAAAAGAAAAAAAAGTCTCAACTCTCTCAAGCTGCTTCATAGTAAATTAGTGGTGCCTTCAGTGGAATCCCCACAAAATTGTTTTATTGTTATGAGTGCCCAAAGGATTCTAGGGCTAGTAGTTAATTCCCCTTTATCTCCCTGCAGTTTCCTAGAAAGGGGTAAATGGATTTTACATTAAGTAGATTCAGAATTATGCCAGATTAAGTAACAATTTCTGTCAGCCTTATCAGGTAGACCAAATAGGAAACATGACCAGATAAACTAATTTACTTTACAGTATTGTAAAGTTACTAGTGCAATTTCTGAGATGATGTTCAGACAGAAAGTTCTAGTTTCTTTAATTCCCAATTCACTCAATTACAATTTGTCCTGTTATACATACTATAAAAGGTAAAGGTTTCCTTGCACATACATGCTAGTCGTTTCTGCTCTAGGGGCTGTGCTCATCTTCGTTTCTAAGCCGAAGAGCCAGTGCTCTCCGAAGACATCTCCATGGTCTTGTGGCTGGCATGGCTCAATGCCAAAGATGCACGGAGCAGTATTACCTTCCCAGCAAGTTGGTCCCTATTTTACTACTTGCATTTTTTACGTGCTTTCGAACTGCTAGGTTGCCAGAAGCTGGGACAAATAACGGGAGCTCACTCTGTTACGCGGCGCTAAGGATTCAAACCGCTGAACTGCCAACCTTCTGATCGACAAGCTCAGCATCTTAGCCACTGGACAAACTAATATCTGTGGATTAAGGGTAGGTCTGTATGTCACTAAATCAAAATCTTATTTATTTGTGGCCATTGGAATAATTGGGGCTTAGGGCTATTGGGTAATGGTTTTTTTCTGCATTTTGGGTAGTTTGGAAAAGTAGGGGAGAGAGCAAAGAATGGAAATATTTAGTTTGACTGACCTGCAAATCTGAATGTACTTTAAGCTGGGTCACGTTTACATATGATGTAAGAAATATACTTGTTGGGATCATGTAATGTCTTTCTGGCAATAAATTGCCGAATAGGCCGTAGGAAGGGAAGTTCACCTTTACAAATACGGGATATAGCTCCCCTCTGTCTTCTTCCGCCAACTTCAGTTACTAGGCAAGCATGTAATTATTTGACACTCTCTTGAATGACTTGACAGATGTAGACCAGCAGTTTTGAAGATTAATGCGACTCACACAATTCTAGGACGCTTATGTATTGTACCTTGAAGGTCACCTTTTGTGTCAACAATCTCTAGGAAAATTCCAGCTTTTAATTTCACTTGGCAATCTAACATGCAAAACGTGGTAAGATATTGTGTATAAAAATTGATACTTTTATGTTTTAATCAGCTTCATATGTACGTGCATAATGCACAGTTTGTTTATCAACGTACTTTTGTTACCTGTTGTGATTACACAAACATTTTTATACAGGTAGTCTTTGGCTTATGATCATTCGTTCAGTTCTGTTTAAAGTTACAATGGCACTGAACAAATGATACTTACAAACATTGCTTCAATTCCAGCCATGGCAGCATCCTGCATTATCAAGTTTTCCGACCTTCCCTGGTCAATTTCCATTAGTCAGTGAAGAAGTCAACGGGAAGTTGGAAGTTGTGGTCTTATGAGGTCCTAATTGCTGTTGTAAGCAATTTACTACCAGTAAAATGGCATTTTATTATTATAAATTGAGGTTTAAATTTACTCTTATTGAAATGTATACCATTTCCATAAGTTTCTAATTAAAAAGATCTCTGCGTTTTTGTTTCTTGTTCTTGCGTACCTCAAAGGGTTACAAACTATGGATTAATGTGTTGTACTATAATTTATTATGTAATCCCAATCAATTAGTATGGTGAGCCTTGGGTTTGTACATTCTTCACTCAGACAGAATAACAGCATAACAGAGTTGGAAGGGACCTTGGAGGTCATCTGGTCCAACCCCCTCCAGCTCAAGTTTATGCCATTTTAGACAAATTGTTGTCCAGTCCCTACTGCCGGAACTGGGTATGTCTAGTTTGATGAAAAGAAGGACATGGGGTAACATGATAGCAGTATTCCAATATCTCAGGGGCTGCCACAAAGAAGAGGGAGTCAAGCTATTCTCCAAAGCACCTGAGGGCAGGACAAGAAGCAATGAGTGGAAACTAATCAAGGAGAGAAGCAACCTTGAACTAAGGAGAAATTTCCTGACAGTTAGAACAATTGATCAGTGGAACAACTGGCCTCCAGAAGTTGTAAATGCTCCAGCACTGGATGCTTTTAAGAAGAGATTGGATAACCAATCTCTGAAATGGTTTTCGTCTGAAATGTTACAGAGTTTCCTGACTGAGCAAGGGGTTGGACTAGAAGACCTCCAAGGCAGGGGTGAAATCCAGCAGGTCCTGACAGGTTCTGGAGAACTGGTAGCGGAAATTTTGAGCAGTTTGGAGAACTGGAAAATACCACCTCTGGCTGGCCACAGAGTGGGGTGAGATTTTGCAATATCCTTCCCCCAGGAGTGGGGAGGGAATAGGAATTTTGCAGTATCCTTCCCCTAGAGTGGGGCAGGAATAGAGATTTTGCAGTATCCTTCCCCTGCCACGCCCACCAAGCCACACCACGTCCACCAAGCCACGCCCACAGAACTGGTAGTAAAAAAAATGTGGATTTCACAACTGTTCCAAGGTCCCTTCCAATTGTTATTCTATTCTATTCTACTTAAAAGCCTCCAGTGTTGGAGCACCCACATCTTCATTCTTTTCTGTCTTATTTATATATTTATTATAGCCACTCATCTCAAGTACTAACTCTAGAGGCGAACAATCACAAAACAGTGATTAAAACACAACATAAAAATAAATGAAATACAAAAGCAGCCAAGAGATACTAAAATTCGATCAGCACTTGTCCTCTATTTCCTGTAATGTCTGAACATGGAAGAAGAAGATAGGATTTCTCTCACATCATGGTTTTATCTTAATCTTCATAGCATAAGATCTTTATAGCATAAGAGCTGTGGTGGCACAGTGGTTAGAATGCAGTACTGCAGGCTACTTCTGCTGACTGCCAATCACCAGCAGTTTGGCAGTTCAAATATCACCAGGCACAAGATTGACTCATCCTTCCATCCTTCCGAGGTGGGTAAAACGAGGACCCAGATTGTTGGGGGCAATAGGCTGACACTGTAAACCGCTTAGAGAGAGCTGTAAAAGACTATGAAGCAGTACATAAGTCTAAGTGCTATTACTATTACTATGAGATACACCTAGATGTGAATGAACACTTCTATCATTTCAGGACTTCTTATAGCTAGCGACACTAGAATATTTTCCAAACTAAAGGTTGTAGGATCTTGAACAACCTTCTCAATTCCTTGGGTTGATCATCATAACAAACAACAAAGTTTTTGTTTTGTAAGCTAAGAAGCCAGGATTTCTTCTGCTTACTAAAGGAGATGGCAGATCATGCAGGCTCTATAGGTGAATCTGATTCACTGCAGGACAGTAACACTTGCTGTGAGATGTGACTTTTCTTGGTAAGTAGCAATTATTATTCTACGGCATGTCAGTCTTCTGGTAGGATTAGTTTATGATGTTGAATGATGCTAAATCAAAGAAAAGATACTTAGCAGCATCCCCATTTTTCAGGTCAGACTTTGTTTACTCCCTTGAATGAGAGCTCTTAATGCAAAAGTGCATGCAATAAGGACCTCTTACTTCATTTTCAACCATGCCACCAGGTGGAGGGATCATTAAATGCTTCATAATTAGATACATTTGTCAAAGCAGTGCTTTAAGAAGCTTAATTTATTACATAGTCATGCCTTTTAAAAAACAAATAAGGATATCTTATTTTACTTTTTTAAAAAATTCATGCATGTAAGCTCAAGTAAAACTGAGGGGGAGCAGAGCAATAATAAAAAAAAAAGATCTTTGAAATGGAATAACATGAGGAACTATATGATGGATGTCCAGGGGAATACATGGATCTTTCCATTAAAGTCAGAGAAGCAGGGGAGAGACGGCAGCAGCAGAAAAGGAAATTCCTGGAGAACAACACAGATCACAAAACGAGAGGCAGCAGCCTCAGCCATGTGATGCACCCAGAGGCAAATTTCCAACTCGGTCAACTCAGAAGGCCTTTTAGCTGGGTGACACTGAAAGATTTTCCATAGCTGTGGCTGCCTGCTGCCGGACTGGGCCTACTTACCTGTGTGCTGTGAAAAAGGCGATCCAGCCATAAAGGAAAAAGGAATCTGAGAAAAGGTAAAATACAACATTGCTTGGAAGAAGAAAAAGCCCCCTCACCCCCCAGGATTTGTCACCGAGAGGCTATTCATGTGCTAGTGTGTTAGAGGTAGAGATGCGATATTAGAGTTGTAAATACAATGAGAGTATGCAGCAGCCTCACACAATCCAGAATTGTTAATGCATAATGTCAGGAAAATTAGGTAAAGATAAGAAGGAAGGATGAAGAGGCAATTTAATATACAAACCTAGCATTCTGATTCCTTTGCTTCAGCCTGGGGAACCTTGTCTCCATCCTGGGTGATAGTTCAAATCAGTGGGGATGTCAGCATGTCAAGGATGAAAATGTGTGTTTGCTTGTTTAACTATTATACACTTAGGCTTGTTTCTAGAGCTACTTCATGCTGCAACATATTGCCTGCTGTATATATTATTTTTCCGTTCAGCTGTCTTGCAGTCCTGCCTTCTGAGCCAAGAAAAGCAGGCAACAATAAGCACATGATTTCATAGAACAATTAATCTTACAATTAGCTCTATGTGATTAGATTGTTTTATTATTATATTTTTTATTAAAGCTTTTTTTTAGGAAAGGAAAAATAAGACATACAAGGAGAAAGAACAAAGAAGCCCCAAAAGAGGAAATATAAAGCAAAGGGAATTTACAAGTATCATAGAATTAGGTTAACATTTTGAATACTTGTAATATTTGCAGTAGCTAAATATATTATATAGTTTTAAAAACAACAGATCATTCTAAAATTCTAAATAATATATGAATATCAATAGCAATAATCAGTATGGTGTAAGATAAAATAAGATTAACAGTTGTAGTAATTTCTGTCTGAGGAACTGAATACATTAAGAGAAAGGCAAATTTGTATGTAGAATTATATTTCAAAAGTAGTTGCGTTAAATTCTATGTCAGATTTGCTTTTGAAATATGAAGTCTCGAAGTGTATTCCCCCAGTTTAATTAGCCATTCTTCTGCAGAAGAAACTATGCATTCTTTTTAATAGTTTGAGCATTGTATCCTTGCAACAACTATCATGTACAAGCTTGTTCAGTATATTTCTTGGAATGCAGGGTGGGAAAATTCAATATGCTATTTTGTTGAGTAACAATTATTCCTTGGGATCATACAACATTCTGCACTGTAATCAATAAATCATATTAGCATATGGATATTATGTTTTTCTAGTTAGTTTAGATGAAACTTTTAACATTTAATTCTGAAATTGCATTCTGGTACCCTTTTTCACAATTTTTTTTTACTTCAAATCTCATAATCTCCCAACCAGCATGCAGGAATCAGCATGGCAATAACCAAGGCAATGGGTAACTGAATAATGGCATGTATAATACTTGCTTTTTTACATTGGTTAACAGTTTATTTATTATACAGTTGATTCATATATAGATGTCTAAATCCTATTTAAAGATAACAGATGAGATAGTCGCAGGAAGGTTTTTGATTAATTATCAGTGAAGTAATTCTAAATTGAAATCTTGTTAGAATTCTAATAGAATTCAAGAGCAGCATGAGTTAGGATCTTTTGCATTTTGACAAAAAGATCCCTGTCTTCTCTTTTAATATCCATAACTGTTAATTAAGGAGGAAGCTAGCCAGTTCTTGTGGGCATCTGCAGGGTTTATATAGAAAGGCACAACATATTTTTATTACTATTTATGTATTTTGATGGAATCCTAGAGCTTGAAAAGGCCAGCCAGAAACAAGAAAAAAGGTAGCTGAGTTTAATGGGGAAAATGTACCTAGCAGAAATGGTTTATAAAAGATGCATAAAAATACAGAGATTCTTTCTGATAATATGAACAATTTGAATTAACTGTTATAGTTGATCAGATTTAAGTCAGGATAGGTATAAGAACCCAGATCATATCTCATTATTTGCGAGACATTATTTGCTGGTGATATCTTTGTGGCTATTGTTAAAGAAGGCTAGAATACTGTAGATCATTCCCAGTTCAATTAAACTCTCTTAAAAACATTTAACGAATGTGATTCTTTTAGACTCGGTTGTGAAATTCTTTTGATAAATCCTGATCTTTGTGCACATAGAAATTGTTGATTCTCTGTATGGATTTTCTAAATATGGTAAGAAAGGGGAATTTTTGTATCTAGACAGATTATTTAGTAATCTGATTTGGGATGTCTTTGCAAACAATGAATATAAAATGTATCTCTTTTGTGAACTTCAATGAATCTAAGATATATTCTCCCATTTACATATAATTTATTGAGAAAATCTAATGTTCCTTTTTGGTAAAAATGTGACGTGTGGTAGTTGTTCATACATATATACAGTTAGTCCTTGATTTACAACAATTCACTTAGTGACTGTTTGAAGTTACAATGGCACTGAAAAAAGTGATTTTTTCCACACTTACGACCATTGCAGCATCCCTATGGTCACATGATTGATATTTGGATACTTGGCAACTGACTCACATTTATGGCGGTTCCAGTGTCCTGGTGTCATGTGATCAGCTTTTGCAACCTTCTGTCAAGCAAAGTCATTGGGGAAATCAGATTCACTTAACAATCATGTTACTAATTTAACAACTGCAGTGATTTAGTTAACAAATGTGAAAAGAAAAGTTGTAAAGTGTGGCAAAGCTCACTTAACAAATTTTTCACTTAGCAACATAAATTTTGGGCTCAATTGTAATAAGTCAAGGACTACCTGTATATAGAGACACCCCCATCCCAAGAGCAGATTCAAAAACTGTTGTGCCTGGAAGAAGACATGATGGCTGCATTAACAATACAAAAGGGAGGGCGTTACAGTATATGCGCTGCTCCATTTTTGGAAGCCCCCTTTCAAAGGCCTTACACTTCCCTAGTGTCTCCTAATTGTGGCTGGCATGATCAGAAGGCAGATGTGATAATAATGGAACTCTGATGTCACACAGATACATTAGGAACATATAGAATGCAGATAGACCGGCATAGATCTGTAAGTGAGATCTCCACGGTTACTGCCTCAACACTATGAAAGCTTGTTTGAAGGATGTTATTCCATACATGAATATATTTTCTTTACCATGGATCCTATGACAGACTTGCATGGTGACCTTGCTCAGCCATAGCGTTAATTTTTATGAGATTTCTGTGATTTTTGCCTTCTATGCTATATGAATCCAGCATTATGGTTTGCTTAATAAACTATTCTCAAACAATGATGTCTATGTGATTTATAGCAGTAGCTTTTATATATATTTTCTTTACCATGGATCCTATGACAGACTTGCATGGTGACCTTGCTCAGCCATAGCGTTAATTTTTATGAGATTTCTGTGATTTTTGCCTTCTATGCTATATGAATCCAACATTATGGTTTGCTTAATAAACTATTCTCAAACAATGATGTCTATGTGATTTATAGCAGTAGCTTTTATATTTGGACATAGGTAACCTCCTTGAACAATTCAGCTTTATTCATTTTAATATTGTAGGAAAAGTGAATGCCAATTCTTTATGAATTTCTTGACCACTGGTACTGGTTTCAGAGGAATATAGTATTGAATTAATCAAAAGTGATTAAGTAATCCTTAGGAAATCTTTCTCTTCGTCTTATATATATGTCTTAGGTATAGGTATAGGTATATGTATATGTATATGTGAAAGCTAGTTTGGTATAGTGCTTAAAATATCAGATTAAAAATAAGGAAATCTTGAGTTCTAGTCCTGCTTTAGGCACAAAGCTAGCTGGGTGACCCTGGGCCAGTCACTTTGTCTTAGCCCTAGGAAGAAGGCAATGCAATCCACTTCTGAAAAACCTGGCCAAGTTGCAGGGATTTGTTCAGACATTCTCCAAGAATTGGATATGATTGAACAGAAGAAAAAAAAATTATAATAATATATATACACACATACACACATATGACTTTTCTCTGAAAATACTGTACATTATCTAACAACTGCTTAATTGTTAGCTTTTGAAAGAAACCTTTTTCTAGGGGAGTGGAAGAATACAAAAATGGTTGGAGCCATATCAGCAGTAGATTTCACGCTAGAACAAAGTAACCCTTTGTTACATTTTATGTTGTTGACATGTTAATGTGGATTCAATCTCTGATTAGTGGTTTGGAAGTGAAAATAATGGGTAGTCCGTATTTACCCAACACAGTTATGACATTTGTGTAAATGCTTTTTGAGGTCACTGTGTTTACTTTAAACACCAGTTCCTTGTACTAAAGTTTTTAGTCATGCCTTCAATTTTAGCTAGAGCCCATGACCATTAGGGAAAAATTAATATGCTGCAATGGAGCATATTTCTTTCATAAACGTTATGGAGTAATTATTTTTCCAAATTATTTCTAATGTTAGGTATTTCCAGTGAGCATGAAAGCTAAATGCACCATAGTAGCTGTCTTTGTGACTGAACTATGACTTAATTAGACAAGTTGTTTATAGGCTCATTTGAAGTTATGTTAAAGTAAAATCTTTGAAGTTCATCAAAATGATGATAAAGGGCGAAAGAAGAGGTACCTGTCACACAGACCAATTCCTCTGTGAGCTTCTGAATCTTCCCACCACTTGACTGTAGCAGTTAGAATGAAAAGTCCTTTCAGCTACTGGCATGTTTTTAGGTTGTAGGAAGTTAGCACCCACCGCTTTCCTGGAAGAATGAAATATTTTAGGAAATATTAAAAAAGGCAGAATATTATGTTTCCCTGGTTGAGAAATGGAGAAACATGTTTTAAAGACAAAACAACTCCCACCTTCCTGCCTCCCCCCACCCCTTTGTTAATGGGCCAGAGGCAGAAACTCAATCTTTGACAATAGGACCCATCTGCAACATAATAGCAACAGAAACTCACCACATGGCATTTGGGAAGATTACATCAGCCAGCAAGGCTAGCTAAACACCCCACCCCCTGGGAGTCTGACAACCAATGAGGATACTCTTTCGGGGCCCCTGGAAGTTCAAAGCCAGAGAAAGCATAAAACCTGGGGACTCGCTGTATCTCGCCCCTTTTTCTGTTCAGGAACTCAAACCATGTGATCCTGTCCACCATTAAACCATCTTTCCAAGCAGTCTCCATGTTTCCAGTGTCTTTTTCCCCACTTGAGGCTGAACCCAGAAAGATATTTCTTCCAACAAGGTCAAGCTGAATTTTCTTCACAGTTCCTTTCTAACTGTCCAGTTCTATGTGGTATATTCTGAAGTACACTGGTGCTTTCATCATGTCAAAATGTATTTACTCAAGTAGTGCTGCAGCAAGACAAAAAGCTCTTGTCATGAGGATAATAAAAACAGATGAAAGCTTTTGAAGTTGGCTGGTTGTACAGGTAAACCTCTACTAGCTGTAATATTATCTCCGTGCTTCAAAATCATGCACATAATCTAAAAGCCCTCCACTGTCAGAAGAATCATGAAAGTCCCCAGCCTCTAAAAGTACTTAACATTAGCATATTTGAATGTAGATTTAATTGAGTTCAGTGTAGTTTATTCCCAGTTGTGTGGGTTTCCTCTTTCTCTTAACACTTTACCTCTAGAAAAAGAGTCCCTGAGCAGGTCTCATTTTGGTTATGGTTAGGGGAGAAGAGGGACACAAAAATGGGGGTAGGGAGGAAACCTGGTGCCTTCTTTAGGTAGCTTCCACTTGTGATAGAGACCAACTGGAGGGAGAGTTTCCTTTGCAATTGACAAGTTCTCTCCCCCCCCCCCAATAGCAGAAGCTATTTAAAATAAAAGAGACTGTTCTTTTCTTAGCCTCTCCTTTGGAAAGAATGGATTAGGCTTGCATATTCAAAACCTAGCACTGTACTTTGGGGGGAGGGGGATGCATTTTCTATTTTTTTTTAAAAAGGCTTGTCCAACTCTATTAAAGAGGGAAAAAGCCTTCCCTTCTTAAATTCTCTTCCCTTGAGAAATAATTTTAATATTGCTGTGTTATGGTTGCTAGCTATTTCCTTTTTTGTTTAATTTTTCCTCACCCATTCCCTTGTGTTTGTCTGTTGCATTCCCAGGCTCTTTTTTTTTTTTTTCACCTTAGGTGCCAGGAGTGTCTTTTCAATTAAGAAAATAAAGAAAAAAAAGAGAGAGAAAATTTTGCCTAGAGCAAATAGATTTCATTTGTATTATTGTTTCCTTTCTCCTTGCCCTATATATGATGACACCGGGGTTTGATGATGCAAATGTTTTTTCAAACACGAAAATATGAGACATATTAAATTCTAACTGATTACATTTGGTTCTTTTGAAATTGAGAGCACTTCTCTCCATCTCAGCTACAGCCAATATTTTAGCTATAGTGTGATAACTAAAAACAAAAAATATATATATTTTTTTAAAGTGGCTATAAAGAAAAAAACACATTCCTTGTGCTCCTCTTGTGTTACAATTTGGATTCATTTCCTGAAAATTAAGAGCAAATCATTAAAAACATCTAAATTGGCTGTTAAACTGAAACTTGCAAGAACCACAGAAGATAGAGCTGTCTCTTGGAAAGCCTTTGCCTTGCCAGCACCCCTCTCTGTTTTTCTTATGAAATGTTTGTTTTTATAATGAGCAGGGAAAAAAAGTGGCTATATTTTTTTTTTCATTTCCTTGACCCAGAATTAACCGTGAATTACCTGGCAAAGGTTTACAAAGGTTTACTGTATAGTAGCTACAGTGCTAAACTCAGTTATGATGGTGCTTGCTTTTTTCCAGTATGTAATGCAGGCATTCAGTGCATTGTGTACTTTCATATCTTCTTGTTAAAATTATTGCTGAAGAACTGCTTCTGCTGCATGTTTATTCACTGGAATCATATCAAGAACTTTACTTCAGTATCTTTTGGTGATGCTCATTACTTCATGAATATGGAAATTATAGGTTTGGGCTGCAATCCTAGACCATTTTTCTGGGAATAAGCCTCCCTGAACCTTGTGCAATTCATTTTTGAGTTATCATGTATGGATTCTAAATTTTTAGAGATTAATATTTTCAGTCACATCTGTTGAGGATACTCTTGGGTACATTTGCTTTATTTGTGCCAATATTAAGTGGTTCATTTGCTCGTAAGTGATTTTCCAGGGATTCCTTGGGAAAAATATAAGGTATGTTACAAGGTAAGTATTTATTAGAAAATATGCATATCAGTGATAGGCACAGAATTGTAAATTGCTGGTTAAAGAATTAGATAAAAAATCTGTGATAGCCTTTTAAACAGCAAGGGAGCAGAGAATTGTAGTTCAGCAATATCTCTGCTGCTAAAGCCCATCTTTGACAACCAAGTTCCCTCCAGATGTGTTGGACTTCAGTTCCATAATTTCAAAGGTCATCTTTTAAATTGTTGTAAGTTGTTGTAAGGTAAATGCTGGATAATATAAAAGAGTATTTTGAATTTTGATTGGCCTTTGAAAGTGTGTGAGAAATAGTTTTTATGGGGACTTTTGTAAGGAAAGATGACTTCCTTTATTATATGGTGGAAACATTACCTGATTGCAAATCCAGCTCATAGGAAGAAGATGCCAACTTTGCTATCCTATAGGATATAACATAGGAAGCCCAAGAGAACTAAATGAGGAATATAGAGAAAAATACCAGTTGCTTCTCCTCATTTTGTTATCTGCTGTTATTTTAGATTTTTGGGCTACTTTAAATTCATCAGGACTTTACAGTACAGTACAATACAATACAATAAACAAGGAGGGAGGGAGGGAGGGAGAAAGGAAGGAAGAGAGAGAGAAAGAAAGAAAGAAAGAAAGAAAGAAAGAGAAAGAAAGAAAGAAAGAAAGAAAGAAAGAAAGAAAGAAAGAAAGAAAGAAAGAAAGAAATTTTATTATGTGCCCAGAAAGTCATTCATTTCCTTATTCAATATTGGGTAGGGATTTTTGTTTATCATTTTCCTTCCTGGCAGTGTAATATACTGTGATGTAGTTATAAAGATGCTGGACTAGGGACAGGGGAACAAGGGACACTCTCAGCCACAGAACCTCACAGGGTGATTTTGAGTCAGTGACTCTCTCTTGGCCCAACATTCCTTACTGGGTGGTTGCTGTAGGGAAAAATAAGAGGAGGCAGCATTCTGTATATTGCTTTGAACTCTTCTGCAAAAGGTGAGATTTGAGCCAAATTAATACACAAAGCAGATCAGTTCCTATGGTCTTACCTACTATAAAAGTCTGAAATATAAGGTTTTATTTCAAGCCTAGTTTCCAGATTGCACATTGTTTGGTATTTTTTTTTCATTTATGTTCTTTGAAGTTATTGCAATGTATTATGGCTCTTTTCCAGGCAATTGAGTTTCCTTGAAAATGTAAAACATAGCTTTTCAGGAGACATGACGTAACTGTATTTTTGGCAAACATTTCTGAATAGCAGCTCCCATGCAATTTATTCTAAAGCCAAAGGTGGCAATGACCACCCATTCTGGCATGAATCAAAAGCTTCCCCCATGATCACTTGAGTTTTCTTTTCTGTCGTTTTTCAGAATTTCAAAAATTCTTTTTGAGGTTTTAATATGGCTGTATTTTGGATTTTATTGGATTGAGTGCTTTATTTTCTGTGCCCGGTCTATGACCATAATAAAGATTGATTTGATCACATTAGATACAAACAGCACGTTGCAGAATATAAGCATACAGAATGCATGCTTGTTGTTTTCTTTTCTCAGAATGAGAGTATGAGACTCCATTAAGAGAGACATGAAATATTCTCCACAACTAGCATTGCTTTTCCTTTAAAGGAGAAAATTGCATCTCTAAGAAACATCCATTCAAAGTGGAATCTGAATTATCAAATCTTTCAGCCACCCAATATTTGTAAAGGATGAATGTGGTGTGGGAGATTAAAATATCAGAGCAGCTATACTTGAGTCACCTCTTTCATTGTCAGTTATGAATGTGGATTATTGAGCCAGGAATATTTGCTAATTATATATGGGTTTTCTCTTTAAAATTCTGGATTAATAACAGTCTTTTTTCCCTAGAGGTATTTTAAGGTCAAACTTTGGACTGGACATCAAGGCTGGCTTTCTGTTATGATATTTATGGGACTTTGGGACGTGAATTGCCCTTGCCATGACATTAAATAGGATCTTTCTCTGCCACAATTGTTTACTTTTCTAGAAATTAACTAGAATGAGGTGGGCTGATTGGGGAAGCTGATATGATGCAGAAGATTATGTTGAGGATGGATAACTTTAAGTTCAACAGTGGTTTAATGGTTGCTACGGTGCTTGTTTGGCATGGTGAAGTGAAATATAGAAGTATGTTCCAGATCCAATTATCCCTGTAATAAAGCAAGAACAACTTCTCTACTGTCCTCAGAGGTATATTTGTGTTTCCCTCACAGATGGGGTGAATGTGATGATGGCTGTTGAGTTAAGATCTGCCAAGGTTCTTCTGGCCTGATGCAGGAGACATTAATCCTTCTGATCTAGAATTTGGGAGTTCTTGCTGTTTTATTCCAAATATGAAGTTCAAATTAATTTCTTTCCATAAAATTTTATTAAGTTTCAACAAAAGATAAAATATGAGGAAACAGAAAGAAAATAGTTAGAAAAAGAAAAGATTGTAAGAAGAGGAAAATTAGTGCAGAAAAGAAAAAAAAGGAAGAAATAGAAAAAGAGTAACTTCCAATTTTCTTTAGTGCAGCTACAAATATAAAATACACTAACATCTTATTCTATGTTTAACAGTTGTACATAAATTTCTATAATCATAAACAGTTCTACTTGTCAAATCCCAACATTAAAATTTCACTTCTCTCACTTTCACGCAAAAAGTCCAAAAATAGTTTCCAAGTAGAAACAAAGCTAGGCAGTCTTTTCTGTAATCAAAGTAGTCAATTTGGCCATCTCAGCCAATCCATTAAGTTGACCATCCATTTTTCCATTGTAGGAATTTTTAAGTTCTTCCATGCCTGTGCATAGAGAAGTCATGCTGCTGTTCTCACATATAGAAACAAAATCCCATGTTAGATAGAAACAAAGTTCCATGTTCAGGTCAGATTAATTTTTAGATGTTGAAGAGGTATTTGATAATTTATTTTTTTACTGTACCTTGTTTTCTATGTAATTTATCTATTTAATGTGGCTTTTGTAGGCATCATGATAAATATTAACTGAGTTGTCTTTAAAGTTGCTTTTTATCAGTGGGACAGGGACATTTCAAAGTTTTCAAACATTTCATGATTTCCTTGTAATTGCAGATGAATGGAACCGCCCAGTATAAATGGTTCGCAGAATGATATAATGGCTCTTTGTCAAAAATCTGGAGTGGCTAATTGTAGTAAGAAAAACTGAGCCCTGGGATTTAGGATGTCTTATCTCTGACTCAGGAAATGTTTTGTGCATCCAGTTGCTACCCTCTTGGGTGGAGCAAAATTTCCTTGGGCTGAAAGACCTATTGTGTTGATCTATTTCAGATGATCTAAAAGCATTGGGTTTGGGGTTTTTTTTTTGCCACCTCTAAGCACCCTCTAGTTTATTATCGATATAGCATGAAAATGGTTTCCAGAAATATCACATCTCAAAGTACACACATTTTAGCTCCTGGCACTCAGATAACATCTCTGTAATAGTCAGAGTAAATGTACTGTTACTGCACACAGTAACAAAATATTAGCACTGCTGCCATTATGCAGAATGGCATTCAGAGGCTGATAATTAAGAAACATTTGGTTGCTATGGTCTTTGAAAGTTTGGAGGGAACAAGTAAGAGGAAATATAAGCCCTACTTAACATTTCTTAAAGAAATGTTGAGGACTAACCTGTGGGTTATTTGCTCCATCTAATAGGAACCACATTCAGCACGCTCTTTATCTCCCATTTTAATTTCAGAGGGGTGAATTGCATTTGTTGATAAGTTATATAACATCGGAAGGTGGACCAGAAGAGCAATAAATCCAGTATTGATTTTTTTTAAAAAAAAAGTGGTGCTAAGGAATAGAATTGATGAGTCACTTTGATGAGATTACTTCTGTGCATATTAACTAAGGCTTCCTTCAGTCCCTGAGGGAGCCCTCTTTTAGTAAATTGCTGTCTGGAATTTAAAGAAGAACAGATATCCTTAAATCATGGGTGTGACCTTTGGAATAAATAAAACCTTTGAGTTTGTGTTGAACTACTAATCAGATGCAGATTCTGTGCATGATCCCTCAGAAATTAATTCCTACCATAGGGCTTTCAAAGTATGATACATCTTGAGATGTACAACTCAACATCCAGGAGCCCTCCTGAAGGGAATGAGAGACATTTTCTGAGCACTTGAAACAAAATTTAGCTTTACATCATGTAGAAAGAAAGCCTTGCAGTGGCCAACATGAGCTCTTCCTTCCCTTAGTTTTTTTTTTCTTTCCCCTGGGACTTTTAGGCAGCTTGAAGAGTACTACTGAACCATATCTAGTCTCCAATAATAACACATCTGAATGTGGACATGGAGGAAAAAACTTTGTGTCATGGGATATAGCAGAGAAGAAGATTTTGCAACTGGTGAAGTTGCACAGTTAGTAAGTGACAAAAACAAACAGGAGTAAACTATACTTTCTTAATATAGGAGTAGACTATACTTTCTTAATACTTTACTGATTTTAAGGCAGCAACATTGAGTATCTAGAACTCAGGAGAAATTTCCTGACAGGGAGAACAATTAATCAGTGGAACGACATTGTGGATGCTCCCACATGGGTGGTTTTTAAGAAGAGATTGAGACAACTGTTTGGGATGGTATAAGGACTCCTGCCTTGAGCAGAGGGGTGGATTAGAAGACCCCTGTGGTCCCTTCCAGCCCTATGATTCTATTTATAACTAAAAGAGGAAGCAGAAGCCAGCACTTCACCACTCCAGTGAGAGCTTACAGCTAGCCAGCAGCTAGTAAAGCACCTTTGCCACCCCTTCAAAAAAAAAAAAAAGGCAAAGCCAGCACTTCAGAGCAGCAGCTGAAAGTAACTGAAGGCAACTAACTTTCCTTTCCTTCCCAAATCTTGATTTTATTTGGTTTGCCTGTTTTTTTTAAATAAATATTTATGTAACCCAATTGTATAATCAGAAACTTGCTCTTCAGTGTAATACAGTGGTGGAGGACACAATTATATCAACATGACTTACTTTAATTAATGGAAAAATTCTGTTATTTTGACAGGAACCTAGGATACAGTTTTCTTTTCATTTAATTCTTAATTTGTGTCTCCCAGCTAGTAATAGTATATTCATATTTTTTCCTATTGGGAGTGACAGAAGGGGGTTTATTATTTGAAGTGCCTTACTCAGAGTCATTCCTATAGTAATGTTTGTCATATCAGGAGACCAGTACAAAGAGATGCTTTTTACTACATTTTACAACAGTTCTAATCCCATTGTATAACTTTCCTTTTTATTCATGAACCCTTTCAAGGTTCATAATATTTGTAATCATAATTAGACATTTAATCCTTTTTACATGTGTTCTCTAGGATCTAAACTTGTACCTTTAAAAATTAGATTTTTCTTTTTGTCCACATATTTCTGTTGATGGATAAACACTGGCAGATTTTAGGAAGGCAATTTCTGTAACATTTAGCCTTGAGACTTTTGAGAATAATGGAAGAGAAGTGTAGGGAGTGAACAAGACATAATTCCTAATAGGAAGCAAAATATTGTATTTACTCAGAGTTTGGGTAATTAAATCATTATAATCCTGAAAGAATCTTGTAGCACCTTTTCTGACTAACACATTTTATTAAAAGGTTATGCCTTTTAATAGCACTTGTTAGTTGGCAGAGGACTTTTAGAGTCCTCCTGGGTTTGTTTGTTTGTTTGTTTTTTGCTACAATAGACAAACAGTACAGCTCTCCTCCTACACTAATTAGGAAGAGAAAGCTTGTAGCTTTCAGAAGGTTGCTAAATCATGAGTCACAGCATCTTTTTCCATGGGCCATCCAGCTTAAGCTTCTGGGAATTGTAATGCAGCAGCAGCATCTGGATGGAGGTCCACAGACCCAGACAGTTGCCATAGTTTCTTGAGTTGTGCTGATAGCTTTGTAATTGGAGCAATATCTTGATGTTGTCACACATTTTCTTATAGACCTCAAGTAATACACAGCAAATATCATACTGAGGGATGTGAAATTACAACAAATTAAGATCATTTTTGGATCCACCAATAAGCAGGACTAAGTCAGGCCTAATTACGTATGGAAGAGCCCAAGAGACATATTCTAGAATAAAATAGAATAGAATAAGAATTAGAAATAATAGAAATAGAAATAGAATACTTGGAAGGGACTTTCAGTGTTGGAGCATTCACAGCTTCTGGAGGCAAGTTGTTCCACTGATTAATTGTTCTAACTGTCAGGAATTTCCTCCTTAGTTCTAGGTTGCTTCTCTTCTTGATTAGCTTCCACCCATTGCTTCTTTGTGGCAGCCCCTGAGATATTAATATTCATGTTAAGTAGGATTTGAAAGTAGAGCCAGTGACCAGCTTAGGCAGGGAAGGTTTTCTTGTTCTCCCCTCTGCCCTTACTCTGCGAACCTGTGGTTTATATTTAAAGGGGGGATGCGTTTGGCTACACATGATTATGTGGGCCTTTTTTTTTTTTTTGATCAAGGCTAGCTTTTATGATTTTAAGATGACCAGAATTCTGCTGCCCTACTATATGCAGCTCAAAAAATAGTATAATCTGCTCTTGCTTGGAGTTCTTCCATGCTTTAATCTAGTAAAAGCTTGTTCCTTTTGGCTAAATCAGCAGATCACCAAATTAAGTTTATTTTGTTGTGGTTACTATTATAAATTAAAGGACATAAAATGACCATTCTGCAACTTCTACAATGAAAATTGTTCTGTATTTATGCTTTTTTTTAAAAGATCACCAACTGCATCCTTTCTACTGCTAATAGTTACAAAAATCACTCGTACAAATTCATTACCATTAATCTTTATATACCACTCTATTATTAAAACAGTAGCTAAAGTGAGATTCTAGCTTTCCAGAATCATTTATTGAATAGCCTATTAATTTCCAAGGGAGTGAACCCAGGGCAAGAATACAATGTTGGGAGGGGGAGGGGGGGACACCCAAACTAATATTGAATAACTTCATAAAATGAACCATACATTTTATGAAACCCAATTTAATGCTGCAGTGGAAAAAAACAACTCACATCGATTCTAATCCTCAGAAACTCCCTGTGTCTTGTTTTGTCCAAATTAGGATGTTAGGTTGTTCTGTCTCCTTGAGAATAGAATCCTCAGTGGTCTATTGTGACTTCAGAGAGATCAGAATGATTTTTTTGCTGGATCCACATCAAGATGAATTGATTGAATTGGTACATTAGATGAACTGTCCAGATGTCTCTATCCTCGTCCTTCTCGGACAATGACAGGGAAGCTTCCTTCAATTTTACACAACAGGAATGATTGATGGAGTTTCAAATTGCCTGTCAGACATAACATCAGGTAAAGAGGTAGTCATGAAAGTTTAGAAAACATAAACCTGCCTGACCATTTGGTGCAGTGTATTCGTAGGCAAAAATACTTAGTGTCCCTAAACCCTTGGGTAATAACAGGGAAAGCAGTAGAAGAAATAGATACAATCTTAATTAATATAAAATGTGAAGGTGGATCAGTCAGGTTGATTGTTAATAACAAATATGTGTTGAAAGAGGGAAAATGGATCACTGTGATCATGATTGTTCCTTTTTAGAATGGAAAAGGAGTCATAAAATATAATTACAGTAGTGGTGTATCTTGTTTCAGTTTCTCTCTGTCTCTCTCTCTGTCTCTGTCTGTCTGTCTCTCTCTCTCTCTCACACACACACACACACACATACATACACACACACACACACACAGAGAGAGAGACAGAGAGACAGAGAGAGAGAGACAGAGAGAGTGTTGTTAGGTGAAAATAGCAGTTTACTCAAGACTGGATTGATAAAGGCAGATAAGGAAAGGAATGTAAACCAAAATAGAGTCTCTGGACAAGAAAGCTTGCCCAAGTGGGTTTTGCTTTCAAGAAATACATTCAGAAGAGCAGTCAAAATCCAATCCAAAATTCAGAAAATCAAGTCAGAGTTGTCAGCCAAGATCAGAGTTTTACAAACAAGATTGACAAGAATGACAAGCCAAAGGAGGAAATCACATGGTTGCTTCCAACAAAGTAACATGGGTCAGGGTTGCCTCTTAAATCAGGTTGCAGCTAGCTATCTTTAATCAAATTACTGTCTTCCTTGGCAAGGAGATTGTGCATCTTTGTTCTGCTCTTCACTCTGCTTTCCAATGATGTATTATTTCTAAAGCACTTGAGAACTGTTTGTTGGCTGAAACCAGATTCCGTTAGAACTACATGGGGTTGTTAAATGCTTTTTTGGCTGCTTGATATTCCATCCCACTATTTCCTTTCCTGAGCAGCATGGCTTTACCCCTTTGCCCATTGGATGGAGTTGTAAAATCTGAGTTTCAGGAGGTCTGGCAAGTTTAGTTATTTGTTTAGTGATTTTAATTGACATTTAGCATAATTAGGCATATAACATTATAGCATTCTTTTGAGGTATTGATTAATTTGGAACAGATTGTTGTGAAGAATCTGACACTAATGGCATTAATTCTAAAAAAGGTATTGGTGATACTTGGTCTTATTAAGTTTTATATAATACTTGAGGCATTTTTAATAAAACAGTTCAGCATACTTGTAGATAATATGAATATAGCAATTAGTACTGTTGCTTAATGGATTATAAACTTGTTCTTTAGTCTTCAGAGATTCTGTTGATCACTTGATCTTGAAGACTCAATAGCAGTAGGCTTTTGCTATAATGAGCAGCGTTACAGAAATTGTGGATTAGTCAGTATGCTTATTATAAAGCAAATAACAGTATGAACTTAATTGGCTAAATCTAAGCAGTGAAAAGATTGCTTACTAGATATACCAAGTCATTATTGTATTTATGTTTCACCAATATAGTTTTCTCAGATATAAGGTATCTGTGGGAGAGGAAGACAAAAATTTTAAAATATATAGAAAGAAACTACTTCCTTTCATTAAAAAGAGTGGGTTATGTCCTTAATTCAGGTGCCATATATGAACCCATTGTATTTTGAAAACAGACTATATATAATAAGTTAGATGAATGGAAGATCAGAAGAAAAAGTTATCATGGAGGGGTTCTTAACAGAATGCCTGGGTGTCCACAGTTCCACTAGATGGTGCCCTTTGACTTACAAAATAACTTTTCTAAAAATTTAAAATGAGTCAAATTTCCAGTTCTTACAAGTTTTATTTGTTCTCACATAAGATTTGGTTAGATTTTGCCATTGTAGTTCAATACTTTTCATTAAAAAACAAAAACAAATTATTACTGCCATTTCTTGTGCTGTGAGAAATTGCAAAAGGGTGTCTGCCATTTTAAAAGTTTACTGATCCCAACCTAAAGGAAAGTGCTACACCTACTTAGGCCTTGCAGCATTTGTACAGCTCATCTACTGGGCAGTAGAAAAGAATGGAGTAGATTGGAGATGTACCTTTGTTCAAAAGTGATCTCCCTAAACAAATTTAACCTATTTCCTATTCCATTGCTGCCTGTAGCCACACCATATCTTGCACTGATTATGTGGAAAACAATCCAAGTCTGCCTTCCCAGAAATATTAAGGAATTCCAGGCAATATCAGGCGGTATGGAAAGAGGACTTGGCAGAGTTGGAAGGAGCTTTTTGTGTCACCAAGTTCAAACCTCTGTTTCAAGTAGGAATCCAGATTATCTAGGAGAGGAAAATGTCCATCTTCTGCATCAGTGCAGAAAATAGAAAAGAGCCTTGCAACTCTGTGACTAATTGGTTCAGGCAATTTCCTTTGGGCTCAGAGATGGGAAAGAAATCAGGTAAATGTTTCTTGGCTATTTATGAGAGAAAAACAGTTCTTACCAGTTAGCCTCTTTTCTTTTGTTATTTGTTAAAAATATTTTGTTATTTTTTCTATTGATTGGAAGATGGGAAAAGAACAAAGCATTTGATACTAATTGAATATTAGATTGATTTCATAATGTGCACATTTACACGCATTTGCTTATAGTTTGTGGCATTTGAAGGGGGGGGGGGGGGGAAGGGACCTATTACTACTTCCAAGTTGTACAAATAATTGTGATAATTCCAACATGTTAAAATATGCTGTTTTCAAACTGATTTATTTCAGTAGCTATGAATATGTTCCTTCTCAGCTTGCAAGTCTACCACCCTATAGCTAGCTATAGATTTGTCAGGAGTATGAAAATTCTCAACTATTAGTGATTTTGCTCTTCCATCCACAGTTTTTCATCATCTTGGTGCCTTCCTAAAATGTGTTAGATTAACTCTTAGAATTCCTAGTCCCAGTGACTGTTCATGGGAAGATATAATTGAAAGTACATAGAAATATTAGGTTTTGGAAGGGCAAGTACTTCTTTCAACCATCATTATCATTAATAGCATTAATTCAGTTTGGCCAATCTATTGAAAAAATCTGCACTGTAGAAAAAATCTACAGTGGACCAACTATAGCTGCCATTGCTATCACAAAACCACCTCATCTCAGAGATGCAAAACCTATCCCTATCTACATTTTGCAAAAAAATAAATAAATGTTTTTCTCCCATCAGGAGAGAATAGACTATGTTAAAAAACACTGGTGGAGGAAGCACATAGGAAATAAAGAATGCATAGCTGTTGCCCATTATCCCAATACAAAACTGAAGTATGATCTTTTACAAGGAGAGATCGTTAGTAGGCTACAAACTAAGCATGGTAGAAAATATTTCTTTAGGTAGGTATGTTTCTAAACTGCTTGTACTTAGAAATTGTGTATATTTTTATTGATAAAGATCAGTGCCTCAATAAAGAACATTTAAAAGTAAAATCAAATACTTCTAGAACAGACTGTTTAGCCATATATATTAAAATTTATATGGCTGCCCAACACACTTATGGTGACTCACAGAAGAAAAACTCAAAATTCAAACCCAATATTACCCTGACTAGCCTCTGATATGAGTTTCCATAATTCTTCAGACAGAAGCACCCTAGATTTTTTAGTCATCACAGAAAAAAATTGATTCTTTTGCCATTTAGTTGCCAATATCCAGAAATGCTTTAGATTGTAAGTACAATTTATGACTACAATTGAGCCCAAAATTTTTGTTGTTAAGTGAGAGATTTGTTAAATTAATCTGACCCCATTTTATGACTTTTCTTGCCACCGTTAAGTAAATCACTGCAGTTGATAAGTTAGTAACTTGATTATTAAGTGAATCTGGCTTCCTCATTGACTTTGCTTGTCAGAAGGTCGCAAAAGGTGATCACATGACCTTGGGACATAGCAACGGTCATAAATATGAACCCAGTTGCCGAGCATCTGAATTTTGATCACGTGATCCTGGGGATGCTGCAAAAGTTGTAACTCTGAAAAAGGATCATTAAGTCACATTTTTCAGTGCTGTTGTAACTTTGAACGGTCAGTAAACAGACTGTTGTAAATTGAGAACTACCTGTATCCTTCTGGAATGAATATCAGGCTGGATAGGACTTCTGGGCATTAGAAGAAAGAATATGGAAGCAGATGGGCCAATTGCTGGCATATAGGTGTGGACTTCCAAATATGTCCTTGCCTCTGGGTAGTCCACATTTCCTTAAAGAAAGAAGTTCTAAGGTTGCCTGGATGTAGAAGTTACATAAGTTCTCCTGTGCCTTTTTTATGTCTTGAATTTCTTGTGTTATTATAAGGCACAGAAAGAACATGAAAAGAACATGGGAAATCAATTATTTGATAATGACATAAAAGAAAGAACAAAGAGTGATGAATCCACAGGGAAAATCTTATAAACAAATTGTTGCATAATGTTCTTTTCCAATTTGTATGTCTCAGTTGTTTTCTCAGTAACTGTACCTTATGCTATTCAATATAACTGTAGAATTTAAGGTTATAAAATGGGGGACTGCATAGATTGTCATGTTGATATTGGCAGTGAGAAAATCTAATTATCTTTCCAGTCATTTTTCAATTTGGTTTGTTCTTTCTTACAATAATTTAATAAACCGACCTTCAGAGCTGTGCCACAAATACAGATAATGCTTTGTTTTTGCCTTTTTTGGTTATTATTCTTAGTCATTTAATATGTTTAATACTCCAGATAATAAACCCATAAGTGAAACTACAGCTTCAGTTTAGCAATGGGACAGGGTAACA